CCCCCCCATGCTAGTGTAAAGACTTACCTTAAATGGTGCCTCTTGATCCAATCATCTTCTTCTTTCCTGGTGCCGGCCTGTGATCCATCGCTGACTCCTGTCTCTTCCTGTCCCATGGAGTCTGTGCGGGTGCACGCTGCATGCATTAACTTACCTTGTGTCTCTCCTCTTCCCCCGACCGAAGATCTGTACTGTGCATGCACCTGCCCCATGATCCTTTGCGGCCGCCCAAGAATTTCCAGGTCTTAGGGCGGGAGCGTACGGCGGAGACACAGGTAAGCTTTAACCCTTTTGGAAACTTTTTGCATATATCTACTGCTTGCTAGCAGTAGATATATCCAAAAACATGTAAAGGTTTAATGTCACTTTAATATCAACTAAAACCAAACTTTGATAGATAATGATAAGTGAAAATTGGGAATATTATTGCACGTGACAGTTTACCAGAATTTGAGAACATTTGGGACCCACGGATTTATTATCTTCTTCAATGAATCCTATGTTTTGATTTTCCCAATTCTTGGACCCTTCCCCTCAAAGGCATATTCTGACTTTTGCAAACAATTAATACATGCACCCAGAGTGTAGATATGATGCTGAAGGACTTTTATTGAAGACAAGTAAATGGATTTGATTCGCTATAGAGAATAGGGCATCAAAAACGGCGGTTCCTTAATAAAATGGGACAGACCCAAAGTATAACAACAGCTGCCAAGTTGGATACAAATGCTACAATATTCTTTTACTTTGTATCTTTCAAACTTTATCATACCCGGGATGTCTACTGGACTCTTGTTTGGACAGATTTAGGTGAGTTATTCCTAAGATTTACTAAGAATTACAGGCCTACAATATAAAACAACAAATTGCCATGAAAAACAATGTACCGCTTTGGCATGCTAAAATCCTGAATAATCATACCGCCAGGGAGGTTAAGTAACCGCCTTTTTGATGCGCTATTCTCTATAGCGAATCAAATACATTTTCTTGTAATTACGTTATCGGTTACAAATCTGGTTTGACAGACCAATAGTCATCTTTATCCTTAGTATCAGTGGCAGCCACTGGGCCCCCCGACTCAGGCCTCTGTGCAAGCACATGGCTAGTCCCTAGGCTTCAGGCCCAGCCAAATCAAACAGTCCATAGCAGCCTTCCCCCAGGCAGGGCCCCGTGAGAAACAGAGCGCATACATGGTCTACCTCAAGTATTTATCTCCTCTCAGCATGTACTGCTGGCCATTAACCCCCTAGTGTTTGTCTAGGGAGACATACATACTCATAACAGTCTCTCATTGGTTGCTCTGTCCTGTTGCCAGTGTACACTGGGGGGGGGGAATTGCGGTTTGAAGGTGGGGAGGGGGGATGAGGAATGTGACCATGCTTCATGTTACATTAATTATGTGTGGATCATATAACTTTCAGTATTTTCCCTTTACCATATAATAATATTATACTATATATACTATACTATTTCTCAAACAATTCATCCCCACACAGCTACCTCCTCATGTATCACTTCCCCCTCCCTTTTAGATTGTAAGCCCTCAAGGGCAGGGCCCTCCTTACCATCTTGTCTTGAATTGTATTGTGATTGTAATGTTCCTTATATTGTAAAGCATTGTGCAAACTGTTGGCACTATATAAAACCAGTATAATAATAATAATAATAATAATAATAATGTACTAGTACTTATTGTCACTCTGCATTGTTCCAACATAGACATTATAACATTCATTGTAGTTATTACAACATTTCAATAAACATATTGAAAAGCAAAAATGTCTGAAAAAATAGAACGTACGCAGCCACCACATCTGAGGTCTGGTAAGCTGCAGTATATGATATAATTCTTCTTAGGTTGAGATAAACTATAAACTATAAGGAACTGCACCATTGTGTCATTTTGAAAGGACATACATTCAAAGTGGCCTTGCATAAGAATGCAAGGTCTGCTTATGACGTAGTTCCCACTCTGGGATTAAAAAACGCTCTGTGAAAGCATGAAAAACAAACATTGGAGGAAGAAGGTAAAACATACTTACCCTATACAGCAGGGGTAGTGCATTAAAATACAAGGTCAGGTAAGTAAAATGTTCTTCAAGCATTGGTCCGAATTACAGTACGGACAGAATGATCACTCAATCTGTATCCATACCGAGCCCGTCATTTAGGCTCCATTCACACCAGCAGCTGCACTACAATGCACAGCTGCTGGTGTGTGTTCCCATTGCACTAATTCATTTATCTTGTTTTTGTTGGAACTCTCACTCTCTCCCTGTTTACGTATATGTGCATGCCTTAAGGTCCCCACACACCTTACGATAATCGTACGATAATCACGGGAAATCCCCCGATCGTACGATTATCGTAAGGTGTGTGGAAGCCGTGCGACCTCTACTACTGTAAGGTCGCACGACTTTTAACTTACGAACATGTTCGAAAAACCCGCCGAGCATCGTACGATGTTCGGCGGGTCTGTAGCATTTTCGTAAGATAAAGGCCGGACGGGCCGGTGTGCGCATGCAAACACAGCCCGTTTGGCATTGCGGTCATCGGAAGCCCTCAGGGGGCGTGGCTTGCGATCATCGCAAGTGCGATCTGCCTATGCAAGATAGGCAGATCGTACGTTTTTTAAAGTACCTTACAACCATCACAAGACAAAAGTCTTGCGATGGTTGTAAGGTGTGTGCCCAGCCTTAAGTACACCTGTTCATTCGAATCAGATGGAGGGATGCAGGGTTGGTTTTAATTTATTTTTCAAATTTATTTTTTTACTATTTTACTTATCACATTTTATTATATTTTTATTGTATTACTTATCACCTTTTTTAAAATTTATTTTATTCATTTTTTACTTTTGTAGCACTTTTTTTCCACTTAATTTTTGCCATCACAAAGGGGCTAACAAGCTCCTAAGTGACAATGTTTGAAGGTGACAGGTTCTCTTTATGAAGACATCAGGGATCTATTACACGCCTAATGTCCCCCTGTAACTCCACACAGCTGATGAAACACAGGAATGTGCTTCACCCTCTGTTTACCCAGCACTTCAGCTGGCTTCTGAACGCTGAAGCATGAAGTGCTGAGAGCATATCAGCCACCCAGATCACTTGTATTTGAGGCGCTGACCCTGCCTGTCTGCTGCCATTGGTTGCTAGGAAGCAAGCAGTCCTGGCAACCAATGACTGAAACAGAGGGGGTCTTGCACTGGGTTATGGCTGGCAGTGAAAAGGCCGGTGTTCTGTCGAGAATGCCGACCCAGTCGAATTTGCCGTCCTGACCATCTGCGCTTGCTCACACACCAGGATGAATGAAGAAAGAGCAATTTATTTAGTGTTAATTGTGACCGTTCATAATATGCCATCCATTGCTGTAAATGATGGATGGCATTTTATGCGCATTCACAATTAACATCGTAAGCAATTACATTATTATGTAATTGCTTATGATATTAATTGTGAATAGTTAAATGGCAACAGCCGTTACTGGCTGTTACACATACAAGCGATGGCCGGCTCTATAGCTGTCCGATCGCTTGTATGCGCTGCCCTGCGCACCACCCCCCTCCCGCAGTGCCGCCTGGGCCATCAATCACTGATAACACTAAGGCCCCGTTCACATTGAGCGATTTATCGCGCGGCCATTCCCGCGATATCGCGGCTATTTACCGCGCGATATCGCTCTTCAATGCTTTGCAATGGGGCAAAGGGTCCTGCTGTCGCGGGTTGTGTGTCGCTACAGCAGGACCCTTTTTGGAGCGGATTTTGCCGCGATTCAATGGTTTTTGATGCAAGCATTTGCGCGATATCGCGCAAAATGCAAATCGCGCGACAAACGCGCGATTTGCGAATCGCTCAATGTGAACCTTAACTGATGAGCAGTAAAAGCTTTTAAAGCGTCGTCGTACGGCCAATTTAGGGTATTGTAGTTTTTGGAGGTTTCGTGGGCGCGCGCAATTTTCAGGGTTGACATGTTTGGTGTCTATTTACCCGACATGATCCCGTGTTTTATATTTTACCAAAAAATTGGGTGATAATAAATGTTTCCTAACATAATAAGGGGAAAAGTTTTTTTTAAAAATTTCTGTACTTTTTTCGTTATACAGTAAAAAAAATTAAATCGCAGTGGTGATTAAATACCACCAAAAGAAAGCTCTATGTGTCCCCAAACAATGATTTAAAATAATTTCAGTACAGCGTTGCATGACGGAATAAATGTCAAAGTACTGCAGCAGTGAATACTGAAAAATGGCCTGGAGAGGAAGGGGGTGTAAACACCCCGGTCAGCAAGTGGTTAAAAAACGGTATATAATGTAGGTGCAATGAATGAGGAAGATGGAAATGATGGGTAAACAAACACATAGCAAAAACAGCAACATTGCTCCGGTAACTAGGAATTAATAAAATGTTCTGGAATTGTGCCACTAAGCGGTTAAAGAAACCACTACTGGCAGAATTCTGCAGATAGTCATTTCCTAGCTCACATTCTGACAATGCCAGTTACCTAGTCGTCATGCTGATCCACTGGTTTCAATACTTGCTGAAAAACTAAGAACAACTGTGCAGTTGTTGTGACTTCATTTGCTACAAGTCCTGTGTCACAGACTAGGAAGGTGTGATAGGCAGAGGTAGCCAGGCAACGTTCTCAGGAGAAGGCCAGTGTGCATAGAACGAGCTCTACCCCGAACTGTGCCCGACTTCCTCGCACTACGTCACCACCGGGCTCCACGGCCACTCGGACCAAGTCCATCTATACAGCACGACTGACTTCTCACGGCGCCCCGCCTACTACACACCCTGCCAATCACAGGTTACATCACACCGCAGACCCTAGTTTCCTCTGTCCAATGAGGGCCCTGATGGAGGATGAGGATAATGATGCCGGGGGGGACCGGAGATGACAGGGGCGGTCTGCATGGGACCGGACACAGGTGAGAAGTGTATTTAATGGTTTGCCGTCACTGTGTTTTCTCTTTATATAGCGCTACGCACACGGTTAAACTCACATAGAAGTGCAGGGCGAGCTAGGTGTAATACGCTGCTATCATAGCGGCTCCATAGTCCAGCATTGTCTATGGGAGCAGATTGATTGCACTGTAGGGTGTACCTGGGGGGGAGAATGATTTCATAGGGGAGAAGTGACTATGAGAGGTAATACATTAGTGTGGATCGGATGTGGGATTACTGGCAGGCACTTTGTTTTATGTTACTGTCTTCTCCTCTAGGGTTATCACCCTATTATTGCCCTGTGCCTGATGGGTACATGCCTAGTGCTGCCTGGGTAGCAGTACAGATGTTTGCAGATTCCAGGTTTCTGGTATTTGGGGAGCCTATTGACAAATGTTAGATTCAGAGTATTAAAGCTGATTTATATGATTGGTGGAACCCCTTGTCAAATGTTATGTCCCAAGTATTTAGACTGCTTTATGTTGTTGGTGGAGCTTCGTGACGAATGTTGGGTCCTTAGTATTAAGGCTGCTTGATTTTATTGGTGGAGCTTCGTTACCAATGTTGTGTCCTTTCTTTTGGGGCTCCTTGATGTTATTGGTGGAGGCTCTTGATGGATGTTGGGTCTCAAGTATTAAAGCTGATTGGTGGAACTCCTTGACAAATGTTGTGTCCCTAGTATTCAGACTGCTTGATGTTATTGGTGGAGCTTCATGATGAATGTTGGGTCCTTTTTGGGGGGGTGGGGGCTGGTTGATGTTATTGGTGGAGGCTCTTGATGAATGTTGTGTCTCGAGCATTAAGTCGGCTTGATGCTATTGATGGAACCCCTTGACTAATGTTGGGTACCTAGTATTAAGGCTGGTTGATGTTATTGGTGGAGCCTTTTGAGGAATGTTGGATCTTGAGTATTAAGGCTGCTTGATGTTATTGGTGGAGCTTCATGACAAATGTTGGGTCCCTAGTATTAAGGCTGCTTGATTTTATTGGTGGAGATTCGTGCCGAATGTTGGGGGCCTTTCTTTTGGGGCTCCTTGATGTTATTGGTGGAGGCTCTTGACGAATGTTGGATCTAGAGTATTTTAGCTGATTGATATGATTGGTGGAACCCCTTGTCAAATGTTGGGTCCCAAATATTCAGACGTCTTGGTGTTGTTGGTGGATCTTTGTGATTAATATTGGGTCCTTAGTATTAAGGCTGCTTGATGTTATTGGTGGAGCTTCATGACAAATGTTGGGTCCCTAGTATTAAGGCTGCTTTATTGGTGGAGCTTCCTGACGAATATTGGGTCCTTTCTTTTGGGGCTCCTTGATGTTATTGGTGGAGCTTCATGACAAATGTTGGGTCCCTAGTATTAAGGCTGCTTTATTGGTGGAGCTTCCTGACGAATATTGGGTCCTTTCTTTTGGGGCTCCTTGATGTTATTGGTAGGCTCTTGACGAATGTTGGGTCCTGAGTTTTAAGGCTGATTGATGTTATTGATGGAGACTCTTGACGAATGTTGGGTCTCAAGTATCAAGGCTGCTTAATGTTTTTGGTAGAGCTTCATGATTAATGTCGGGTTTCGGGGATTAAGGCTGCATGATGTTATTGGTGGAGCCTCTTGAGGAATGTTGGATCTTGAGTATTTAGACTGCTTGATGTTATTGGTGGAGCCTCTTGACAAATGTTGGTTTCCTAGTATTTAGGCTGCATAATGTTATTTAGTGGAGCCTTCTGAGGAATGTTGGGTCCCTAGTATTCAGACTGCTTGATGTTATTGGTGGAGCCTTTTGAGGAATGTTGAGTCTTGAGTATTAAGGCTGCTTGCTATTATTGATGGAGCCTCTTGACGAATGTTGGGTCCTAAATATTAAGGCTTTTTGATGGAGCCTCTTGTCTAATGTTGGTCCCTTCTATTCTGGCTCCTAGCTGTTATTGGTGGAGCCTCTTGAAGAATGTTGGGTCCCAAGTATTAAGGCTTCTTGATGTTCTCGATGCAGTCTCTTGCCTAATATTGGGTCCCTTATTTCAGGCTGCTTGATTTTATAGGTAGAGCCTCTTGACAAATGTTGGGTCCCGAGTATTCAGGCTGGTTGATGTTATTGGTGGAGCTTCTAGCCGAATGTTGGGTCCTGAGTATTTAGGCTTGTTGGTTTTTTTGGTGGAATGTCTTACATAGTGTTGGGTCTCTGATATTCAGGCTGCTTGCTGTTATTGGTGGAGCTTCTTGCATAGTGCTGGGTCTCTGATATTCACGCTGTTTGTTGTTATTGATGGAGCTTCTAGCCGAATGTTGGGTTCTGAGTATTTGGGCTTGCTTGCCTAGTGCCAGGGTTCAGCAGTGGCCTGGCTGCTTTCCCTCATGCTGTTCTCTCTGGCATTGTTAATGCTGCTAGTTCATAGCTAAGTTTCTAGCTCGCTCGGTCGGTGTCTGGCACAGTTACCAGTCATCCAGAAAGTTCTGGATTGTCCATGAAAATTAATCTAAAATAAAATATTGGATTTGTCCTTTTGTGTATCAGCCAGTCACAGTGTGTTTATCACATGCTGATTTGATGCACATTATTTGGTAGCAGGCTCTCTTTGTGTCACATGGCATTACAGTGATGCCAAGCTGCCCAAGAAATGCTCCTTCCACACACCCTTCTTACATGCCCTATATAAAACCATTACTGTATGGTACAACTGCAAGTTATTGCTGTGTACATTTTCCTTCTAATGTTTACTAATGTTTTCAATAAATAAAGCATAACAGGGAAGTATTTTAAGTAAAAGAAATGACAACTTGTGAAAATATGAATTCCCTAACGCATTGCAACATATTGTCATTCTGTGGAATTGAGAAGAATATTGTCACGAAGTAGCATTAGTTTAAGCATAGTAAAAGAATAGGGATAGGTGGTAAAAGGGTAGAAAAAATAAAACTGTCAATAACCGCTAACTATGGAATATGTATACCTGCAATTTCATAATATGCTTATGGCAAGGGTGGACAAATTGTTATGGAATTCAGGAGCCAGCAGGATTTTGTTTTAGAAGCCAGCTCCATTGACAAAAACTAGAGAAAACCTGAAAAGTTGGGCACCAGTTGTAAGAAGCATTATCTACCTGGCTCCTGGGATTTGTCCAGCCCTGGTTTATGACAATGTTTATTAATGACACTAATCTCTGGAATAGTTTGTAACAGTGCTTTTGTGGAAAGTAATAAAAACGATTGAAAGAGACAAAAAGCACTACTACCAAATAGTCCCCGTTCACATCAGGGCGTTTGTAGCTTGTATTTTTCAGCACGGAAAAGCTCCGCACTAGAAATCACATTGATTTCTATGGTCCTTGTTCAGAAAAAAAGCCATTTGCTGGAAAAAGGTACACAAGCTTATTTTTGGGCAGGTCAGCGCGACGAGGAATAGGAAAAAGGGTCACATCGCGCTGATCTCCCTAAAAAGAGGCGCATACTTGACAGGCTTGTGCAGAGCTTTTCCGTGCTGAAAAATACGAGCTACAAATGCCCTGGTGTGAAGGCGGACGTAGACTGTAACATTACAGGCAGTTCATCGCTGGTATAGAAATGTGTCTATGCAATTTTCCACTGTCTATAATTGGTTGAGCACTTATCCGTAAAAGAAATATTGGGTTGGCTTCCTTTGTGTTCAGTCGTGGCTTACCTTTGCTCTGTAGAGGTTCAAAGTAGCACTTGTTCCAAAATGTGGAGCAGAAAGAAGACAAGCTTGTCACCCAGCTGTGTAGGCCAGGCAGTGGATGTGCTTCTTGGCCAGCTTTTTAAAGTAAACCTGTGACTGTCATGGCATAAACCAAGCAAGGGCGTCTTGTAGTTAGCAGCTTGGTCAGTCATCTCATACATCTCTGCAGCCTATCCAGCCGCACTGGACTTGTGGCGTGCCCCTGACAATAGGGAATGGCAGATCTGTAGACATTATTATAATAATAATAATAATAATACAGGTGCAGCGCTTTACAATATAAGGAAGACATTACAATACAATCCAAAAGATGGTAAGGAGGGCCCTGCCCCTGAGGGCTTACAATCTGAAAGAGGAGGGGGAAATGATACATGAGGAGGTAGCTGTGTGGGGATGAATTGTTTGAGAATGTGATGGTTGAGCGGTTAGGTTGAGCTGGGATAGGCTTCCCTGAAGAGACGAGTCTTCAGGGATCGCCTAAAGGCAGTCAGGGTGTGAGATAGACGGACAGGTAAGGGTAAAGAGTTCCAGAGGATGGGAGAGACTAGAGTAGTCTTGGAGGCGAGCATGGGAGGAGTTGACGAGGGAGCGCCCTATATCACATGTGGCAACGCCAGGGGGGTTGTTCAGACTCTGGGTATTTGTCTTGTGTGTTGAGAATAAGAGATGTGAATAGGAAGTAGAGATATATGAAGGCTGCATTCGAGAAACACACAATTGTGGGAAAGGTATGAGATGCATAATGTCAGTTACCAAATGTAGCACTTGACTTCTAGTCAAGTATTAAAAAAAAAAAAGAAGCTTTTTGGTCTAATTATATATTTTGAAATCATTCTAAACTGTTAGTTGCATATTTAAGTACATTACAGTACACTGCTTGTACATTTTTTTTTAAAACCAGTGTGAAATTCTCTAATACCTTTGATACCAGACTACAGGCTTATTGTGGAAGTGCTAGCAGTGTGAGCCAATCAGGCTCTATTGTACTGCACTTATGTTGGAAAAAGAAAGCATCTCCAGGTCATTTGTGTGCAGTGCAGTGATTTTACCAAAGGACATTGCAGAATCTTACCTACTTCTGTCTTGTAAATACTAAGGGCTTGTTCACACCATGTTTATTGAACTGCATTTTTCTGCACTAGTGCTCACGTATGGTGTGAACAGAGCACAGTTGTTTTCTTTATGCCCTGTATAAATCGTATATGTAAACAAGCCCTAATGCAGGCATCCTATAAGCTGAAGTGAGGCCGGGACATTGGAGGGTTTGCCAGGAGGCAGTCCGTCTAACCCTGGAACCAGC